CTAAATCAAAATAAGTGACAGAGACCTGAATTGTAATTGCCGAGTATCGTTTTGATTTTAGCACAAATAGTTCTAGCAAATTATTAAAAGCACAACGTTCTATACAGCAGAGTAGTTGATTTATTAAAAATAAATTCAAAGAATTGCATAAATAATGTTCAAAGTTTAAACAAAAATTAAATATTCATTACTAAATATTCATTGAGTATTGGTAAATTAGGTAACTTATAATGTCTTTCTGTATTTGTAGACTTTAAGGTGCATAACTGTGGGTTATCTCCCCTAAAACCTTGAATTTTAAAATAGGTAGTAAGCAGCACAATTTATATTTGGTTAAAAACAACCCCAATTATTTTTCAAACCTGCAATGTGCTAATACTTATCAAAAAAATTAAGTGATGCATTACTATATTAGTTGTTGATATATATATATATACATATATATATATATGTATATATATATATATATATATATATATATATATATATATATATATATATATATATATTCAAGTGTGTGTGTGTGTATGTGTGTGTGTGTGTGTGTATGCGAATAGTTTAAGTTTGTACATTTCATGAAGTTTTCGCGTCCTATGTAATACTTGTCCGCTCCTCCATTAAGGAAGGTGACTGTAATAAATAAATCAACACACATGCCAACCCCCACCCCCCTTCACACACACACACACACTACGGGTGCTAATCGCACCGGGCGTAGGTCCCGGGACCAAAACGACACCAGATGAAAATTAGGTCATCCGACCCTCCTCCCCCTAGCCCCCCCCCCCCCCCCCCCTTGATACCATCAACTGATGAAAGATAGGGCCGATGATTAAAACTGATCTCACCCCGGCCGGGGTGAGTTCTACCAAACAAGCCACATCCCGGCTGACCCGTGTTAAGTCCACTTACGCACGTGCAAGCTTCTTTCCGCACGCGCCCTGACCCGGGGAGCTGACCCCCCGGGACACGAGACCGCCGGAGGGTGGTGTCTGGTGAAAAATGGTGTCGGTAGTTGATGGGGGTGGGGGGGATGAGTTGACGTGTGGATGTGATAGGTCAGATAGGTGTGAGTGTGTGTGGGTAGTCTATAAAGGCTAGGTGTGAGTGTGTGGGTAGTCTATGTAGGCTATGTGTGAGTGTGTGTGGGTAGTCTATTTAGACTAGGTGTGAGTGTGTGGGTAGTCTATTTAGGCTAGGTGTGAATGTGTGTGGGTAGTCTATTTAGGCTAGGTGTGATTGTGTGTGGGTAGTCTATTTAGGCTTGGTGTGAATCTGTGCGTGTGGTACATCAGATAGGTGTGAGTGTGTGTGTGGATAGACTAGGTAGAATAGTTGTGAGTGTGTACGAATTATCTACGTAGGCTAGGTGTGAGTGTGTGAGAGTAGCGTATGTGGAATAGGTGTCAGTGTGTGTGTGTGTGTGAGGGGTTAGCATTATAGGACAGTGTGAGGTCAGTGTATGTTAGACAGGTGTCAGTGTATTTCAGTTGTCTAGACTGGATAAGTGTTCGTTTATGGGGGTGGGGAAGTCTTTGATAAGCAATATATGTGTTCGTTTGCTGGGATACTCTATGTAGGAGAGGTGTAAGTCTGTGTTTGTCGTCTTGTAGGCTATGTGTGTATGAGGTGGTATGTGTGTAGGGTAGATGTGGGGTCTGTGTGTGTAGTCTATGTAGAATGGGTGTGAGTGTATGTGTGTATGTGTGCGCGCGTGTGTGTGTGTGTATGTGTGTGTGTAGCCTAAAAGTCTAAGCGTATTTGTAATGCAATGGTGTGAGTACTTGACTAGGTGAGTTTGATGGTTTCGGTTGACTCAACAACCTGTAATGACGTATTACCGATTGAAGATTATCGGGGCAGCACGTGTTATACAGTGACTAGTGAATGAGCCTATGTTTACCTCGGTATGATAAACGATTTGTGTGGTTTGCTGTGAGTGCAGTCTTTTAAGTCGAGTTAGGTGTGTGGGGGATCACCTTGTGAGTGAGATGTGTGTGGGGCCCCAATTTGCGACTCTACATAAATTAGCGCGCGCTGCCGATAATTAGACGTATATCCCCAATAGAAATTGTTTTATTAAATGCTTAATTAAAAACTGTTATGACTAAGGGAGTTAAATCATCAGTGACAATGTGTGAAAGTCAGCATGAGTAACTCTTCGATTTTCATTTTTTTTTAAATTAGAGACGTTACCCTCCCCCCAACCCTCCTCGACCCCCCCCCCCACCCCCTTCTGTCTAGCACCGGCTAATAATTCCACGTTACACACTACTAGTGTCCCATGAATGAAAAGAAACCTTTTTTTTTATTTTATTGAGTAGTTATTTTTTTTTTTTAATATTTTTTTTCAAAGTTCTGTTAAAATTTTTCGTCTGGCATTGAAGTCACACACACACAAACTCTCTCACACACACACAGTGAGTGATGAATCATAGGGGACGCTCACTATCTGGAACACGACACGTGACAGGGAGGGAGGGAGGGTGGTGGGGGAAAAAAAAACACGCGTTCGCGACACTCTGCGAATCCACTGCGCATCGGGCCGATAATTCACGATCAGTCACGAAGGCTAAAAATAAACAGATAAACAACAGTCAATCGTCGGGCTAGTCAGGTCGTCCATGTAATTATATAATGGTCTACCTGTGTCCAGAGTTTCTTTCAGGCAATTCTGTGGACGGGTGGGGGGGGGGGCACTACCCCCCCCCCCCCTACAAATCAACTGCCGCTACAGGATGAAATGTAAAATATATAATTTAAATACAAAATCTATATGGTGACACAAACCACCATTAATATGGTGACACAGACCTCCATCAATAAGATGACACAAACCAGCCTCAATATGGTGACACAAACCACCATCAATATAGTGACACAAACTACCATCAATAAGATGACACAAACCACCCTCAATATGGTGACACAAACCACCATCAATATGGTGACACAAACTACCATCAATAAGATGACACAAACCACCCTCAATATGGTGACACAAACCACCATCAATATGGTGACACAGACCACCATCAAAAGGTGACACAAACCACCATCAATATGGTGACACAAACCACAATGAATTAGGTGACACAAACCACCACCAACAAGGTGACACAAACCACCATCAATATGGTAACACAAACAACCATGAATTAGGTGACACAAACCACCATCAATAAGGTGACACAAATCACCCTCAATATGGTGACACAAACCATGTTTGTTTAGATACAACCCCATAATTAAACATCCAGAACCTTCGAACGAACATGAATAGAGCTGGCTTTGAAGTAAGTCGCCATTAAAACAGCTCACCTCTCCCCGTCATAAACGTAAACAATACTGTCGCTCACAGTTATGAATAGCTTGACCACAGATGGCGTGGTTTGGGGTACTCGAACAATGGCCGTTTTATCGTGCCTATGAACCAGGTGTGATATCTGTTTGTAGGTTATGTACCAGATTCAACTGTCTGCGCGGTTTGTAGTGCGACTGTGAGTGCTGTTTGTACCGGTTGGACTGCGATTAGCCATTGGACTGTGACTAGAACTAGCCGCAGGACTGTAACTATCATCCTGTTTCTAGCCGTTGAACTGCGACTAGCCATTGGCACTGTGACTAGCCGTTGGTGTTGCGACTAGCCTTTGGCACTCTGACTAGCCGTTGGTACTGCGAATAGCCGTTGGTACTGTGACTAGCCGATTGACTACGACTATTATCCTGTTTCTGGCTGTTTAACTGTGATTAGCTGTTGGTACTATGACTAGGCGGTTGACTACGACTAACCGTTGGTACTGTGACTAGCCGATTGACTACGACTATTATCCTGTTTCTGGCTGTTTAACTGTGATTAGCTGTTGGTACTATGACTAGGCGGTTGACTACGACTAACCGTTGGTACTGTGACTAGCCGATTGACTACGATTAGCCGTTGGTACTGTGACTAGCTGTTGGTACTGTGACTAGGCGATGGTCTCTGGCTATCAGCCGTTGAACCAGGCCTACCGCGACTTATCTCGCCTAGTACAGTTGTTAAAGGGGGCGCCACTACTCGCACGGCGGAATGTTTAGCGCGCCGGCCACTTGACACGAATCAATGACCATTACGGTCAATTAAGATTACTACATACAGGTCATGCTGCGACCTTGACCCTGGCATAAATAAGTGCGGTGGTGGTATGGTGCTTGTAGGCTGGTACACTCGCTTTGGCGTCTGCTTGAAAAATAGAATCGGTCATCGTTTGAGAATTCAAGTCGATGTTTGACTCCGTTTTAAATTTTCTGTGTACTGTTTTGATTACTAATTATATAAACAATTGAGTCCGGCGTTGATCTAGTTTTAAGCGTTCCTGTCCATAAGTCCCGCCCATTTGACCTACATAGCCGTCCCCCCCTCCCCATCCCTATCGACCAAACTTAAGTCATCGTGGTGGGTCATCCGTATACGTCAACTGGACCATGTCAGTCAAACAGGAGACAAAAGAACAACATTGACAAACTTTAACAAACCAGACAATTAAGGGACATCAGTCGTGTATAAACAATTGAAATTATCAAGCGATTCGGCCTACTCTTTTAATTTAGTTTCTGGTTTTATACTTTTAAATATATAGGCCCCCTATTATTATTTTTTATTTTGAGTATTTTAAATAAAATATATAATGTATTGTAGGTGTAAACATTTAAAATATGTAATTTAAATAGTTAAAACTTTTAGAACTTGAACGAAAACCGATTACTAAAAGAGAGGAAGCACGATGAAATAAAACAAGATTTGTTTTTAAAATCACCCCGCAGTTCACACGAAAGTAACTAACCATTTTTTTTCCTCTCTCTCTCCCTCGCTGATAATTTCCCCTCTCGGGCGAATCCTCGCGCACCCCCCACTCCAGCGGTGACGCGACGTCAGGTCAATCCCCTCGCGCTGCCACAAGCTCCGCCCCTCTCCAGCGCGTGGTATAAAACGAAGGGGCGCACATGGTATCGCCACATTTATGAACATTCTTGTTTAGTTTTGTGATTTCTTTTTTTCCCTGATCGAAGATTTTTACATCTTGTTGTATTGTGAACTGAGTTGACTTGTGAATTTCGATGAATTGGATACTAAACATTTATTTTTGAAAAACTTCAAGTGAAAAGGTGTAATTCGAACATTGAACTTGATCAAATCGTGGACTTATCCTAGTGTTCTGTGCGGTGCTATTAATGTTGATAGCGCCTAACGAACCCTGCTTGCCCCGGATACACTATGTTAAAACTATTGTGAACTCACTCACTAACATCCCAGGGAGGCGCATAGCCGGTACACTGCTCACCAACATGGATTACAACAACGACGCCGACCCGATGATCTCGTCCGTCGTCATCTTCCAAGACTACCACAACAGCATAGCCCAGAACCAGCAGGTCAGTTCGTACGGTATGCTGGACTTTGATTCCTACTCCCGACCCACCATGATGGAGGACCCCTCCAATAACATTGACATGAGCCTGGACAGCCCGGCGTCCATCGAGACGTACCAGTCCGATATTGAGTTAGGTTTCCAAGACAACCAGTCCGTGGCGTCACCAGCCGAGCAGGACATGAGCGAGTCGTCTATGACCAGCATGGCGTCCACCCCTCAGAAATTCTCCCAGCTGGACGATGAAGATTTCGAGATGGACCGTCGACTGGTCAATATGAGATTCGCTCCACACGACGTTTTCCCCGTGGATAACTCGTGGACGCTGGAGCAGAAAGTGGACCGGCTCTTAGAGCTGAGCCCCTGCGATAAGTACTCACGGGAGGAAATTCTAAATATAGACTCTGTAGAAAACCCCGAACAAAAAGTTGACATGTTGATCAACCTTGTGGCCAGGATCCACGTCAACTTCCGCTGGAACTACGTCAAACCCGAAGAACTGGCCCGTGGGTACACCGTCGTCACTAATTGTAAGAAAGAGAAAAAGAAAGACTCTGAGGGTCAGACGACCCCCAAGCGACCCATGAACGCTTTCATGATCTGGTCCATGAAATGCAGGACCCTCATCTCCCACATCTCACCACAGCTGCACAACGCCATCATCAGCACTAAACTCGGCGCGGCCTGGCGTCAGTTCGACGATGATGAAAAAGCTTACTACGAGCGTGAGAAGGAAATCCTAACCACGTTCCATCGCTACGAGTTCCCGGACTACAAATACAAGCCCCGCAAGAAGCCCAAGAAGACCGAAGAGAAACCCTCCCCCGTTCCCAAGCCTAAAAACAACAAACGTAAAAAAGTCGAACCCACCCAGCCGTCCCCTCTCCGGGGCATAAACTTGGCCGATGCTCGCCAGAGTCTAGACCCGCACCTGAAAGAACGTCTTCAGGTGAAGATGCAGGTCAAGATCGACCCCGACCTAAAAAAAGAAATAGGTAAACGAGCCACCGGCATTGATCTAACAGACCTGAGCGCTTACAACCAAACCGAACTGGCGTCCCCGCCCTACGCTAAGGTCCAGCGCCTCCTCGCCGACAACCCCTCGGCCGTTCACCTCATCATCGACAACAAACCCTCCTCCGTCTTCGACACCCCCGAAAACTCCCCCCACACCCCCATCACCCCCGTCACCCCCACCGAACACGTCATGACCTACGGGAACACCCTCAACAACCGCAACGATTCCTGCTTCAGCTTCGAAGACAAACCCAACATCGACCTCTCCTACCAGATGGAGAACAACAACAACCTGGTCCACGCCCCCCAGGAGCCGGTCAAAACCGAACACATCCAGTGGGATCTCAACATTAAAACCGAACCCCAAGACTACCCTTTCTACTGCCCCGCCGCCATCAAAACTGAACCCGGCCACGGCTGCGTGTCCAACGGTCTTGAAATGGACATGCCACAGTTGCCCGTGTTATCCTCTGAGATTATCGACGAGTACCTTCGCTGTGGCGACGCCTCCAACTTCAACAACGAGGAACTGTTATCAGACTTGATGAACATTGTCGTCAACGGCAGCGATTACCTAACGGATCTAGCCACCTGTGTACCTGAAGGCCCAGCCACGGTTTAGGTTATGGTGAATATTGTCCAGTTTTGTTTGAATATATATGTAGACTATATGTATATTCCCCCCACCCACCAATCTCCCCAAAACTAGCTAGCAATAACATTGGTATCGGCTACCTCAAATTACAAACATATAACCCTAACACTAATCATAACTACCTATGGACTAATTTAAACTCATATTTAAAAAAAAATAACTCGTCAAATGCTCAACGCGTCTGCGTACAATCATTTTTTTTTACCCCCTAACCTAGTCATGCGAACCCGTCATCTAATCACTACACACGCCTAGTCAAACCCACCCCACTCCCCAAAACGTACTACACACTTCCCCCCCCCCTCCACCTCCCCACCTATTATCACACCCAAGCCTTGCCCTTCCCTACACGACCTGACCAGACGAAAAAGTCTTCTGCTAGCGTAGCCTGTGTCTAAAAAAAAAGCCCACCCACCCCCTCCCCACAATCCAAGGCCGGTTTTTATCCAGCTTTCTAAAGGCCGGGGAGAATTTTACAATACACCTCTATGGTACATACAAAAACCAAAACTTAACAAATAAATTAGTTGCCCTACGTAGTCGTACTATGCCAAGTCACAAAACTGCTCAAACAATCCGTCCCCTTCCATTACGACTAATTAAAAAAAAGCCTTTTAAAAGTACTAAGTGCATTCTACAATATTTTTTTAAACGTCCGTCCTTGATTAAAAGGACCCTCATGCAATCATACACCAACCAGTTTAATTGTCATTACATTTTTTGATATTACTGTTTTTTTTCTTACTTCCAATGTCTCAGGCTAAGAATTTTTTTTGGGACCTGTATTTTTATACCAAGCAAAACGAATTTTTTAAGCTGCATACAATCGTGTTCATTTTGTATAGACATTGTTAGATATTTTTTTTTCCTTCTATAAAAATATAAATTCCAATCCGCCTCGCACCTTTTTAGACGTTCCCTGATTACGTCCCCTGCACAAATTGACTAGACGTCTGCTGTCTCGGTCTGGTGGTGACACACGCCCAAGGTCAGACGACCAAATTTTTTTTATTACAAATGTCATAGTGTTCATTCAGCAATGTGTTTCCCCCCTCCCTCTCCCATACCCATGTTTCTATTTTTACTTTCAAACTTGAAATTATTACCAAAAGGTATTTTGGTGCACATTCCTAATGAAATAGTTGGCTTATTAATTCGCTTCACTATTGCCTGTTTCAAAGTTCATATGATTAGGGCCAAAAAAATAATCTTGTTTAAAATTATACATTATTACGAAAAAAAATGAAATTTCTTTAAAAAAAAAACTTGGCTGCCTTTAAAATTTATAATATGAGTGGTTATTATTCTGCAAATGTATTCATTACTTCATCATGTATTACGTTTTGTGTTATTTTCATTATTACTTGCTATGCCATTCGCATATTATTGTTAAAACTTTTTTTTCCTCGTATTTACCATTTACTTATTCACAAGCTGTCTGACTGATTCTTGGCTTTTATGCATTCGTGTTCAATCACGTCGCTGACTAACACCGAATCTAAACCTAAACAAAAATCTTAAACCTTAATGGTTTCCATTTACGTTTTCTATTATTACTATTAAAACAAAATCTACTTAATTTACCAAACAATTTGGAAACAAATATCTCGATAATTTGGTTGAGCAAATATCATTGTGATAATTCTTTTTTTTATTTAAATTCAGTCGAAATCGTCTGTGTTCTTTAAGTGTGATACGCCCTTGAATTGGTGATCGCCCTTGAATTGGTGATCGGAGAAGAAATTCTAAAAAAATAAAATTGCTGTGCTGTGAATAAAAAGACAATTCACCAAAGACGTCTGTCTAGGGCTGTGTGTATTTGACCGCCGGGCGGGCTCCGAAATATGCACCCACACCGGGCTCTGCTCATTCTGCTGCAACTCTAGGGCTCAGTCCCTGGAGTTGTCGCAACCTGGAGCAGTGGATGGTGATAAAATAAAGTGGTCATAAATTATTTATTTCTCTATTTATTTCCTCGCTCAAACTATGTTTGTGATGAAAAAAAAAATAATGTACACCCCCCACCTTATTTAATCCTTTAGAAAAATATCCACCCATGACCAAATTTCCACAAACTCAAGTTTTTGTTTTTTTTTAATTAAAATTTACAAAAGTTGTTTGAATCAGTATTGTCCGAGTTATGTCCCCTCATCCCCTATGAAATTAGGCTGTGTATACGACTTGAACCTTCTGAATAAAAATTTCACTATGGTGAAATAATAAACTACGGCAATGAGATACTATTTTTTATATGTTCCGGCACATATACGTTGTGCTGTCGCATATAGAAAAAAATAGTAAAAGTAAAAATTAGGTATTGCTCAACCAAATATTAATTATCAGTTATTTTTTATTTTTTTTAATACTTAAAACAAGGTCTCGGTCGGTCACGTGATCGAAGCGGTACATTGTGATTCGCCAAGGTCATAGGTCAGCTAATCTGTATATACCACTGTACATTTTGTTTTATTATTGCTTTTGTATTAAACTGTCAATCAAATGGTGTTTTATTCATAATATTATTCTATGACTTATATCCATGTTGTACCATAATGTACAAAGTTTTTTAGATGCATATGTTATTGGTTGTGTACATCTTAGACTTAAATAGAGTATATTTTGTTAGCTATAATCTATTCCATATATAGCCTTTCATTACATTTCCCTCTATGAAATTTTTTTGGATTGTTTTTACTTTTTCATTGTTATCCCCCTTTCCTTCCACAAACTTCACTATCGCTGTTTACAAAAAAAATTGTTTATTTGAATGGAATACTAATACATTTAGCACAGTATTGCCTAGCAGCCTTTGATATTTCTTACCAACTTATGCAACACGAAGATCCTGCCATTTTTTTTTTCTCATTCATTTAACGTGGCAGCAGGTTTTATAGATCAATTTACATGTATATTATTAAAAACTTAATTAAACAGTGGTACAACTGTTTAAAGTTACTTTAATTACTTGAATTATTGTATGCCTCGAATTGTTTTTAAAATGTGGACCAATAAATTGTTTCTTTTTTTTACTATTTTAATTGTAAAACATGTATTCATATGGAGTTTCAAAAGCTCATTTTTTTAAACTGATTTTTAGAGATAATTCTTTTTATTGATACAACAGTTTTCAAATTGACTGAATTTTTAATTTGTCCATCCCATTCAAAATCAAATAATTTACATTGTTTTAAGTTTAAACTAAGCACAACTGTTTACTTTTATCTTCAACTTACAAATTTCAGATTAACCGTAGTGCAATTTTTCTTTTCAAAACAAATAATAACATACCCACTCTAGTTGTACATAACTTGATATAAATTTATAACAATGTGTTCAATAGCCAATCTGTATCTGAGCGTGTAAAGACTACACAGATGTGCCCAGCATACCTAGGTGTGTACCTCACCAGGCAGATTGGCCACATACACGGGCCACTGATCTGACCACGGGCCACTCGCCTTGGCCACCCACCCAGTGGCCACACTACCCTAACGCGTCTTTCCGCTTTTAAATATTTTTTTCATCATTTTGATATCCCATGCACGAATCATCTTCAACATTTCAACCCTTCTGTTATCGCCTTATCATCCTCTCCTCTTTCAGCTCCAGCCTCTACTCCTCAATTTCTCTTAACTCTTTCTCACCTGAGGATAAACTAAAAAAAAACGATGAATAAATATGCAATATACTTCTTGTTGTATTCTTAGTATCTATTCAACCATGTTTTTAAAGCCATTTCTACCATGCACCAAAGCTCAACAAAGCAACCCTGTCTATTGTTCATCTTGGGTTAAGCTCAATAGAATGAACAACTCATACTTGAGTTTTAAAAAAAATCAAATTCTTAGAAAAAAATTTAACTTTTTTTTTCTTCTGAGTGTTATTCATGTTTGGTGAACTCTATCACCTGCCAAAATATAACGAACAAAACATTGTTATTTACTAAAGATATGCTTGTTATAGATTGTTTTTCTTTGTTTCCGGAAGTTGAAAAAAAATTTGTTATGCCTATAAGTTTTTTTTGAAAAAGAAAAAGCCATTCCACTTTGACACGAATTCAGTCTTTCCTATGTTAGAACAACAACTGAATCTATTTGTTTTTGTTTTCTTGTATTTGCCTTGAAATCACAATGGCCAAAATTATCTTTCAATCTATTGTATAATTCAATAAATTGTTAACAAAGTTTGTAGACAGTTTTACTATAGTTAAGAAGTAAAAAAAAGCCAGTTAAAAAAAAAATTAAAATTTTAAAGCCAAATATATTTTAGAATTTTAAACAATTTGGCCAAAAAAAAAAAGAATTTGGTCGCAGATGTGAGTTTACCATTCTTAACAGTATCTTTAACTGCTCTTCTTTTTTTCTAACGACCTTCATGCAGTATGACTCGCATTTATATACCACAAGGTCACACACTGCCGTCAACAGATGTGCACACCGCTGTGTACTCACGCACAAAGCATTCTATCCCTAACGGCCCCTGTTGCCAACAGGGAGTACAAATTTCTATTTCACGAAGATGATTATATATAGATGTTTTATGAGGCTAATATCGTCAATATTATTGTAGACTAGAGGACCACACGTGTCCAAGTTTTTTTACAAAATGTTACTGTCCATGTCTTTTTATATACGATGATGCATTTGTTTTTTTATGTCATTTTATAACTATATATTTTTAGTAAATAAAAAATAATTCATAAAATAAAAATTGATTTCATTTGTTTTTTTAAAGTATGGTAACTGTTTTTTTGTTGTGTTGTTGTTTCATATATGTGTTTACTATTAGTTTGTTTACTGAGAGAGACACTGTCAAATATTTGGGAAGACTCATTTAAGGGAATGCACACAAAGCGAGTGTGATGACTCAATAGATATAGACCTTCCAATTGCTCAGAGCTGATTAGTTCTGGGGGCTGGCTAATCCAGATCAGGTGGTACTCTAGCTCAGTGACAAGGTGGTAATCC